GCAATTCTAGAACAATTTACTATTTGAACAATAAGAATACGAGCGCCGTCAAACACAAAGCGACGCCCATGGCTTCACCGATTGATTTATCGATCGACGAACTCAACTAATGGCACGGCTGGCAAGTTTCCGACGCGCGAAAATTTGACCAACGGTCTCAGTATCGAGTAAGCGTATCATTTTCTTGTTACATTCCAGCAAACCTTTTCTTCTCCCAAAATATGCGTTTTTGTTAAACAGGAAGGGAGAGGGGAGTATGAAAAAAACCCAAAGAATCGTCTAGGCCTAATGTATTCCGGTTAACTAAATGCCAACGTCACATTAATTCAACAGTCAAACAAAACAGCAACAAGAACCATAGTAACAAAAACGTCCATCATAAAATATTCGAAAAAAAGAGCGTTCAAAGCAAGCCCAGAAGCTTCTTCTCCTGGTTTTCTTTCACCGACCAATCCTTTTTCTCTCCCCTCGCTACGTTCCAATAATAACCCAGGACCACACACCGCCATCTTTTTCTAGGTCACAATATGGCGGGCGCGGAAAAAGACAAGGCTTAACGCTCGCGTAGGCCTTCGGTTGGAGGCACGTTTGAGGTTAACGTTGATAAAATCAGCCCAACTTTTTATGATAAACTCTGCCAGCTCATTCAGTTGAGAAGAAAGCCTTGGGCTACTTTGTAATGGGAGAAAGTTTTCCCTCTTTGCATCAAAAGAATGCCACACACACTAAATCTGTGTTTTGAACCGTATTTTTTGCCGACCGAGACACACAGCGTGTATTGGCCTGTAGCACAGGAAAGATAGGCCTTGGCAAACTTGTGCTCTCTTCATCCCCTCCTTCGTTCTCTCGTTCTGCGCGATAACTTTAAATCAGTTTAGACTAGCCTATGAATTTACTCTCAAAAACCAATTTGGACTTTTTTTTGGACGAATTTGGTGTTATAGTTTTGGTCTCTATGGTAATTAGAAAACAAAAGACTCTCGAGACAAAAGCATGCAATATTATGAAGCATCACCACACGTACCTTCAACCCATAATTCGTCAACGTTGGTCTCCAAATGTCCCGTTTTTAATCCAACACAACACAATGACAGTAGCAATAATCCTAAGAACGTCACTTTGCCACAATGAAGCTGCAGCAAACATCCAATACTGTAGAGATATCTTTGTAGGTAAAGTCTCAACCATAAGGCACATGTATTTCCATCTGCCCGACCCTGTGAATTGACAAAAACATCCACAACATATGAGTGAGTTAATTTATAATATTGTGAAGTGTTTATTTTTAGTCATCACTGATATCGATTGTAAATTATGCATGGAACACATCCTATAAATACACCGGGCTGTCAAACATTCAAATTTCTGTCAAGCTGACTACTTCTGAGTGTCGTGAAAATACGCACAATAAAACTGGCAAATTTTAATTTCTGCTTCTCCAACTTAACAGGAGTTAAATTTACATTCATAATAACAACTGTGAAATACGATTTTATTCTATAAAAACATTAGGCTATAAAATGAATGATCTTATCCTAAGGATGTCCTAACATAAACTTTGACCTCCCGAATTGAGTGACAAGACCATACTTTTCGACAAAATATGAATTGGTAACTTACAAACACAAATAAATTCAAAATGAACCAGACAGCAGAATACAGGATTTGTAACCCTTACAATATCTTACATATCAACCCAGATATAATCTAGAATCTAGAATCTAGAAGCAGTTGAGTTAATAATTGCGATAAAAAACCGAGGTAGATTTACAATCTATCTAGATTTCTAGTTCTAATCTAGATTTAGATTAGATCTAGATCATTTCATTTACAATCTATCTAGATCTAGATATCTAGATCTAGAAATCTAGATCTAGATTAGATCTAGAACTCTAGATTCTAATCTAGATATCTAGATCAAGAATCTAGACTCTAGATATTCTCTAGATATCTAGATTTCTAGATCTAGATTAGATCTACAAGAATCTTGATTAGATCTCGGCCTGAACGGAGTTACGACAATTCGAACCCATCGCACTCCTCTCAATTCTCAATACCAATGTTCTTTGAAGTAAAGGGGAGTTTAAAGACGAAATTAACCAACATGGATGTGAGGACTGCTCACCAAATGACCCCCATCCCTACAAGTTGTACAACTCACACAGGTAAACAAACAACAATGTGATTTAAACGAGAGGGGGGCTTCATGATGTAAGAATTGAACGATTCGGCTCCGTAACGAATCGGGGTCACCCGAGTACTCACCCGTTTCACTTGTCGATATGCGAGTTCAGCGTTGACCCAACTAGTCCTGGTCAACAGCTCAGGGTCGGACTTTGATGGGTCAGCCCTTCGGGGCCGGTTGGACATACTTCCAACTTCAGGACCCCCCGGCACAAACCAGGGACAAAGCTAAGGCGATCTTACATTCGCCCTGACTTGGAGAGCGAAGCTACACAACACGAGTGTACGAGGAAAAGCGAGTTCACCCTTCGCTAGCCGGGTCCACGGCTTTTAAACCGAGCACGTGTTGAAAGTAAGAATTCCATTGTATTCCAAGGCACTACATAATGAAAATGAGTATCCAACAAACGAAAAACTCGTGTAGAAAACATTCAGACAGTCACCACAACATCGCTGCCTCCCACCGGAGTTGCCTTCAACGCGTTTGATGTAGATTACCACGGTGTTCCCATTCTGTGTGTGCTTCCTGCGATTTGCATACTGGCTCCGCCTCTTGGCCTACTGCGACATGATTGATGCTGAGCAGATCGCGGCGCTGATTGGTCAATTATCAGTAGGATTGCTCGTGTAACACCAGCCCAACATTAGTTGCTTAGCAACAGCTCACCCAAGTAGATAGACCACCCAAGAAGTGAACAGTGAACAGGCCGGGATCGCCGGAGCAGTACACCAAAAAAGCCCGCTGTCGAGCGAACGTACAGATGTTAGAAGGCGGCTATGGTGTTTGAAACACTACTCCTGCCTCGGTCAGAACTGAATCTTGGGGGCCTCTCCACCGGCACTGAGGTGCAAATTTGGTTTATGAGGAAAGGTGTAAACATAAACTTTAGTTTTATTAGATTCGGCATATATAGCGGGCTTGTTCTAATGTATTTTTTCTTAAGGGTAGTAGACGGCAGCCAAAGTGTCTCGCAGGGTTTCAGTACTCGCCAAGCCTCGCTGGCGTTCTGGTTAGATTGTGGGTGGTTGATGTTATCAAAAAATTATCAAAATAGCTGACGGCAATAATCCCGCATGGGAACACAGCTTTGATGCCATCTGACGGGTTCATTGCTACATTGTCAAACACTCAATGGTGAATGAACGGTCCATGTATCAAGCGCATGTGATAAGAAACCAAACCTGCTATCTTTAAAGGGTCTTTTTAACTGCTTCGTCTTCGTACAGCGCATGTAAACATGCATTTATATGCAGGATGCGTGCCCCTTTTTGAGTTTTGAGTTTATACAATTTGCGATTACTTTCTGTGAGACAAGGATGTTTTGTACTGTCTCGGGGGCTCCACTGTGGCCCAGAGTGGGCGTTGGCGTTTGTTTGTTTTGGCTTTAACCGGCCTGGCGATGTGAAACAGTTATCAATGAAGCTGTAACAGCAACAAGAACAACAATAACAACAACAACAAAATGATACGTTTAATTTGCTTACGTAACGTTAGGCCTACGCTTACGCTGCGTTTCTTTCTCCCTTCTTTTTAAACAGAACAGTTGAGATCGTAGATCTAGCTCCTACTTCAACTGTCCGTGTGACTGAGCGCGCCGTGTTTTCTGCGTTCATGCAACTAGAATAGATCTAGGCCTAGCCTAGGCCTACACAAAATCCACTGGTGTCACGAAAATAAAAATCCAACCAATAGCAGAATGAGCCATGGATTTTGACAAATCAAGTGTCTTTCGTTCTTCTAGTAGAGCTAAGGTGAGCTGGATTTCTCAATGGTACAAGTGATTAATTATAATTTAGGGGGAAGGGAGGGGGGGGGGGATCAGTTGACGTTGACAAGCGGACTTTTCGAATTTCAGCTGTAAAACTCTTGGCTTATTTAATTAAACAAAAGTGCACTCGGGAAGTGCCAAGTCCTACTCACCCTTTAAAAGCAACTAAAATTACCAAGGAAACAGGTGTAGCTGTCTTTTACTTTGTTTTATTGTTTATGTTGTGTGTTGTTTTGTTGTTGTTTTTTTGTGTGTTTTTGTGCTTTTTTTCCGTCAACCGTACTGTAGATATCTACCAGAAAGAGCAGGAATCAAACTAGGTATTATGGTACGAGAAGTAAGCACCTTACCCCTCATCTAACAAACCCCACAACTAACAAGCATATCACAAAAGGAACATTTCCATGGTATAATTTGTTTAACAAATGGATGAAATCGTAAACAATAGTAACATAACAACACCAGCAGTAGCTACAGCAGTCGTGGTAGCAGCCGCAGCAGCAGCAGCAGCAGCAACGAGACTAACTACAACAGCTTTAAAGTAATTCAACAACTAGACTAACTACAACAGCTTTAAAGTAATTCAACAATAATTCTTCACCTTCACCACCCGTCAATACTCCTGACTGGCAACAAAGGCTTTTTCATTTTTCATCATTGTCTTTCATTCGTTTCTCTCGTCTGCCTATTTTTTTCTGTCTTTATTTCTTTCACTCTTTCTTCCTTTCCTTTCTCCCTCTCTTTCTTTACTTGTTTTTGTTTTCTTGTGTCAGCCGTCTAGAGAATTGTCAAAACATCAAAATAGGAAGATCAGATCAGCCAGCGAGCGCTGCTGGCTTGCCCTCTCTCAAGCTCGCCCACCACCAACCAGACCACACCATACCTCACCACACCTCTTCTCCCTCACACAGCAGCACCTTTTACCCCACCAGGCCCTCCCTCCCGTCTTCCCTACCCACCACCCAGCTCTCTCTCTCTCTCTCTCTCTCTCTCTCTCT